TCCCATCTGACCCCATAGACTTGTGTATATCACATAGACTTGTGTGTATCTTTCAAGCATTACCAGCTTGTATCTGCAACAAACAGAAAGCTGCACCTTGCAGGCTAGATCTTTATACACCATGAACTGCACACGTAACATCTGACACTTATTTAATGAACATAAACATGCAGATATGGTGGTTAAAGACTAGTGTTCACAATGCCATGACTTTTTGTCTGGATCAATATGGAATAAGGTTGCTCAAATACACTCCTACTATAAGCAAATATTTTTTTGACTTTGAATAGAACTGAGTTATAGGCCTAACACTGAAGGCAGACATCATCTTTCAAAATACTATGTGCAAACTTCTCTGCTTCCAAACACAAGAGAGAAAGAAAGAGAGAACAGACTTTTCAAAATCCTGTTTTAACACAGCGCAGTTTTACTGGGCAATATTTTTATTATAAATCTACAACATACTATTTTCTTTGACTGCATGCAAAGCAGGATGGAGCCAGCTAGCATTTCTAACAGATTCTCAGGAGTACTAAAAGGAACTGCCATACTACACTAAACAGAAAAACAGGGTTATCCTGTTCTACAAGATAGGTAATTTCTTTAAGAAATGCAATTATTTGCTGGAAAGAAACAGCTCCTCTGAATTCTGTCCCACATTTGCAGAAAGCACTCACAGCAATGTACAACACCCACACCACTGCCGTTCTCTGAATTAGAATTTTAAAATAATATCCACATACACCGAATTGGTATACAGCCAGAGCCATGGAAAGCATAATGCTGACCTGAACGGATACCAAACTTATAGCTGTACATATATGCTACAGAAAATACCAGAATTGGAGATGACTAGAAAATTATGAGAGGAAAAAAATACTTCTATCAGTAACTGTATTGTAAAGCTATTAATAAAGCAGGAGTAAGTGTCATTGACATTTGCTGTTAATATTATTCTCTATAAGTTTACACATAGCAACGACTTTTAGACAATGCTGATCAGACATGACTTAATCTAGAACTGCTTTTTAAATGTGTATGTTTCCTTCAATGGAAACAGTACAACAACGTTTTAGGTGATACACCCTTGAACAGGAACAGCCGTGTTTTCACATGCAAGAGTAAAGGGAGACTAGAACACCCTGTAAAAATTTGCTAGTCACAAACATCTCTGTCACATCAAATTTGAATGAGCCTTTGATTCATGCCTTATCAATTAATAAGCTTCAAGGATAATATTCAGCAGAATATTGCATTATTAGGTGTATTCCAAGGATTTTAGATTTACCCTGAAACATCTATTACTTTACATGCCTGGAAACAAGACAAGACAGTTGATCAAATCAAGAAATATGGCACAGATAACAAATTCAGATTCCCAGATTAATAACATCAGACTCACTGAATATTCAATAACCATGAACAGCACTCAAAAAGATGTTTATGTAGTAAACATCATAAATAAACATGAACAGTTAAGTATGTAAATTTAAGTTTAATATACAAGGTTTATAATCATCTAAATAAGGAAGACCAACTTGCAGCATCTCAAATTTGAATATCAGAAACTGTTAACAGACAAAAATTTGATGTTTAGAATCAAGGATCAGATGGCAATACACACTATAAATAGCACAATAATAAAACTAGCATACTGCTGGCACAATCTAGTGGAAATAAAGTTTCTTAGTAAAAAATATTCGGGTTTTTGTATTAATTCCAAAGCAAATAGCTACTTTGCTGCCTACTATGTTGTACAATACATAGCAAGCACCACTGCTTGAAATAAATTCTTCTGTCCACCATAATTCAGGATAAAGTGTTACTTGCATTCACAGTTTTGTGGAACACTGCATCCTGAAATCACGCTGGAAAAACATCTAAATATAATTAACAGTGAACATAACTGACAATGACTCATGCTTTTGCTTTCACATTGAACAAAGAGAATTGTTCAGTGAAATACAGACATACTGTAACCCTAAATGTTAATCTTAATTAGCCATATTCCTCACTAGAAAAAGGACTTAATTAGAAACTATGATACAGTGAGTTCTTCACTTTATAGTTTACAAATAAATAAAAATTAATAATGTAGACTGAATTCAACGTAACTCCTAGAAGTAAATCCAATGGACAGCTTAGAAGCAGATGAAGGTTTAAAGACATGGCATAACGGTGATATATTTCCAATGCCAACTATACTACTCCATTAAACAGTAATGGGGAAATGCATCTGTACCATGGAACAAAACCACATTAAATAGGCACATCAAAATGGGTAAATAACAGCTTCTTTAAGTCATTTGTTTTGACTCTGCTCATAAAAACTAGACTTTCCACACTGATTTTTGAAGTTACATAGCTTTAAGTCTGTTCCATAATTTTCAGCACCTATTGTCATTCTTTCCACAGAAATCAGAAGAAAGAATTCAACTCAGCTGCTAGAATGACTAAATGAAAAAAGTGCTGCAGGAGCCAGAGCCACCTCCTGCAGAACAGACCATAATTTCAAACCTAATGTTCAAACCCAAAGGCTTTATACAACAGTGGGACAGGCTAGAGAGGGCACACAAAGATATATGCAGATAAAATATGACACAGATAGAAGAAATGCTGCTAGCGACAAAGAAATTGGCATTTTTACACAGAGGGCTGGGGTGAAGGGGAAATCTGGTTTACTGCTCATGTGGCTCTATGAAAAAAGCAGTCTAGCAGAAAAAGTTTAAGCAATAGCAGTAACAGTTCAGTTTTCCAGCTTGAAAAAAAAAAAGTAACTTTCAAAAGGAAGATGGAAGACCAAAATCAAAACTCTTCTAATACGTTCCGTATGCACATTTTTTTCTTATTTCCCCTTTAATTAATATGTATTCAAGCAGCACCAAAAGATGCCACAAAGTACAGGCACCACCAGAAACCTGACAGGGACATTTTCTCATTTAGACCTAGTAATTAATGCCAATGCTCTCCTGCCAAAATTAAGCAAAAATGCTACCACGCAAAAATACACCTTAAACTTAGGTTTTAATTTAGCCAGCAGAGTAGCCTGTCAAAACACTTCTGAAAGGGAGAGACGAAAACATCACCTCTGGGGTTATGTGGAGACCAACTATAAAAATGGAATTTTGAAAGGAAAAGCAAATCTGGCTTCTACTGCATCACTGCCTTCCGTATTTTCTTCCACATTTCCCCGAATCCATTTCTATTGTTTTGCTCTCCTTGTATTTTAACTTCCCAACCCTCAACTCCACAACGTCTCAGAAGACAAGCAATCCATGTCTCATGCACTAGCTTAGGACCCAACACACAGTTCCACAGCTTAAGGTAACCTTCTGCGTAGAGCCAAATGCCAGTCTTGTTATGCACTCAACCCTCACTTACAACTTCTATAGATTTTCCATGAGTAGATAACATAGCATCTTTCCCACGAACAGCTTAGTGCAGTGCTGTTCAGGATGTCTCGGAAACAAACGACATAGTTTGAAATGTTTGTGGTGCCAAGTGCACTTTTGAACTACTTATCCCAGACACAGGCAAGCATTTCCTCCATAAGCATGCCAAAAGTCAAAAAATTAACACAGGACTTAAGGTTTATCCCATCTCCTTTATACTTTCACTTCAGGAAAGCCTGAGTTTTTTGTAAATTTGGGGTGAAAGGACATTTTTTTTTCCTTTGAAGACTATGAAGAAAATAGCTGTATCTCATTTTCAGAAAAAGGAGTAAGGTATGTATTTTCCTAATGGAGAGAATGTGTATTTTACCTTAACATTGGATTTCTTAGAGAAATTAACGACCACTCCCCATCCAAAGTCATCACCTTCATTCTTCACCTGAAAACATTACAAGATGTTATAAAATAACCCATGCATAATCACATCCTAGCAAGCATATCTCTTTGTACTTCTGATATCTGTACATGGACTGTTACTCATCACAAAACCAGTACTTCTTCTAAATCACTGCGAATGTCAAATTGCTGCTTAGTATGATGCATGTAATTTTTCAAGGTGGTAAACTGTCAGAGACAAATGAACCCTGCAAATTTCACAAATAGGCAGAGATTTGAAATAAGAACAAAACGTAAGAAAAATCAGATTACCTTTACCAGTCTTCCTGGCTGTAGAAAGGGCAAGCAATACTTTGGTTTGTGAATATATTCTTCAATCTCTTTACCCAGTTTTGCAAGCTGCTGTCGAATTTTGTAGTATATCACCACATTTTCTTCATTGGGGATTGATATTTTGTTGTACTGTCCTTCCAGATTATTCACTCCTTTAATAAAAAGTTAAATCTCATGGGCATGAGTAACTTCACAGACTTAGAAATCAGTATTTTATCACAATTTTTTGCATTCATTTTCTACTTACAATAATCCATTCTCTGAAAAGCTAGACATGTATAAATGTGTCCATTAAATTTTATTTAATCAGAAATTAAATACTCAAAACTGTTTTAAAAATAAACGACCTTGAGAAAACAGAAAAGGCTAGACCTCCAATTGTCCAGGAATCACTGTTCGGGGGTTACATGGAAGCCCCACAAAAACTTGCAATAATTTGTAGGAGGGTATTCACTGCCTACCAGCGCTTTCTACCTACTCCTATGAAAATAAGATTGTTCAAAGAAGTCTTCTCCCAAGATGTCTTCCAACAAGAGAGAAACTGTTAAAAGATGTTCTTCATAACCTGTTTTAGGCTCTGATTTCATCAGCTGGAAATCACTATGTTTCTTCCTCCAACATTTTCACACATTATTTATGCAAATCAGTTTTTATTATAAGGAACATGCTTCGTTCTCTCACTCTGGTAATACCACTAGTAAACACAAACAAAGGACACATTATAAAGATCTCTTTTTCCCCTCTACCAACTCATCCTCTTGCAAGCTATTTGAATGCATACGGGTGACTCAGAAATCCCACTTCACTGGGACTTGAGAGAGCTCAGGGAAGTGTGCCTATTTTTAGCTGCCAACTTTTTAAATAAAAAAGCTAGTAATACATGCTCATGCCATAATTTCCTCTTTGATCTCAACAACCGTTTCCCTCCTTTGTGTTTTTAATTACAGATTAAGTCATTACAAAATTCTAATCCCCAATATGGTGCCTAAACAAAATATGTCCAAGAAATATGAAAAATGTTCTCCAGTTCCATCTCTACATAGCAATGCTGGAATGCCAGAATGAAGACCTAGGCATGCCAATTGGAACAGGGAAGTTCTCAGGAAATACATACTGTATTTGACTACTACTGCCTTAAGAACTGCACCTGTAAACTAACAGCAACTCTGCAAAGGGATTCAAACTGCCCCCTCTGTATGTCTATCGACACCAGAAGCACACGCACACTGTCTCTCTTAATATTCAATTAACAAATGAAGAGATGAACTGTTCATTCATCAGTGGCAAAAGAAGCAGTTACCCCTTCTGTTCTTAAGATTCTTCTGGGTTAAGTTTTGAAAGTGGCCTCACTCTCAAACACTGGCTGAAATATTTGGAAACTGACTTTGGGTCATGAAAACACACTATTTTAAGATCATGGCTCAGAATTTAGTTACTCAGTGGAGTGCAAATAATGTCTCCTCTTTGAATTTTGCTGTGTATTTTAATTAAACATTTTTCCTTTACTACTCCAAATGCAGTACACCCAAGTTTCTTATAGAGATTGTAATGGGGAATTAAAATTATGTTTCTTTTAGCTAAGTTCTGCATATCAAAAAGGAGTAAGACTTTTCTTCTCTGCACCTCTAACAAGCCTCAAGAATTCTGAAATTGTTTTTTCTTCTTCCTGTTCTACAGTTTAGCAATGTGACAACCATTCTTGTCTGACTGAGAGAGGAAAGCTCTCTTCACAGATTAACAGTGCGTAGGTCCTGAGAAGAGGAAATTACTCTCCCTGAAACTGTAACATAACAGCAAACGGTGCAGTGGCAACTGTTGGCAAGTAAGACAAGAACTGCATAGGTATAAACTCTTTTGAGGGAAATGAAGTGTAACTATCCAGTCTCACAGAGCAGCATCTTTTATGCACACCCTCGGGAGTACAGCATACTGTAATACTTACTTTCTACTATTTCTGGAATAGTTCTGTAATGTTGGAATTGATAGAAGGATTTTTCTAACATGTATTCAGGGTTAATATCCTCTACTCGAAGCAAGTTCAATACCATGTTGTACGTCAGGTGGAATGCACTGTTTAAAGGATCAGCTGAACCCTGTAAAAGATCCAAGAACTCTGTCCAGTTAAAAAAGTATTAATTGCAGCATATAAGAACATATCAAATAAATCAAGATGCAGTATTTTACTTAAGAAGCTGCTTTGATGGGCAGTACAACATGTCTTGAATTTAAATTATGTGTCTCATCAAGTCCTAAGCAATCTTATACTGAACATGTAACACTATTTGTCTCATTCTATCTGTAGTTACATTAAGATATTATAGATCTGAATGAAATAAAAAGTTCAGATTAAAAAGTAAGATGTTTCTATAGTCTGTTATTTGGATTCAATTATTTTAACTTTAAAATAGTAGTTATTGAACTATTGAAAGCAATCCATTATTTTAACACTCTGGAAAAAGCTACTTGCACACCTTTTTCTCTTAACACTTACTGATCACATTGCTGTCTTGGGATGTCTGTTCAAATATAGGTAGTCTACAACTTCATTAACTGATGTAATGCCTCATTATAAAATTAATTTTCTTTGCAAGGTGCTCAAGAGAGGTTGTGGACTCTCCACTTGTGGACACAGTCCTGGGCAGCCCGCTGTATGTGACCCTGCTTGAGCAGGGGGCTTGGACAAGACGATGTTCAGAGGTCCCTTACAATTCAACTAATTCTATGACTGTATGAAATACCACCTCACTGCACATTATTTCCTCGTTCTTATTTTCTAAGAAGATCTACTACTGCCCTCTGTCAGAAAAGGGTACTTTTAGGATTATTATGTTCTTACTCAAGAGGAAGACCTCATTATCATAAGAAGAGCAAACATTTAATGGATATACATTAAAACAAAACAACCAGCTACTCAAAGTACACACTCAACAATTAGACAGTATCCAAGGAAGATCTAGAAGATCTCAACACTATAATCTCTCTAAGTAAAAGGAAACTTAACAAACTGTCTCTAACTTAAGTGTGGCATAGAAGGCCATCCTGATAAACCAAACAAGAAGTCACTGCAATCAGATGAGAGAGACCCAAAACCTCTGAATTACGAAACTGCCCAACCGCGGTGCATAACCTTTCACCTAAAGTAGCGCTGGTATAAAAGGAACTGGTGCCTGACAGTTCTTCAGAAAGAATTCAAGGGGAATCCAGAAGTTATAAAGCAGAAACTTACAATTTCTGTGCAACAACAGGAGTGGAAATCAGAAGCAACAGACAGCTTGACAGAATACAGCAGAACAGCAGCAAAAACAGGCCTTTTCTAAAATCAAGTTAGAGGTCTAGATTTACAAGAAATGCAGAAAAGGCTTAGACAGGAAACTAGCATGGTCTGCTAAAAATACTACTAGATCACACCAGCAATCCACATAGTTGCATGATGAGGAATAAAATGGCAAGTGAAACTTAATCTGAAAATGTACTATAAGATGAAGTGCAACAGTTTGCAATGGTTCAGTATTTACTGCCCATTAAAGAGTGACCTATACATGAAATAAAAGACATTTACTAAACAAGTAGTCATTTCAACAAGGCCTATGAATAAATTCAGTTATTATTAAACATTTTAAATTAATGACTAAAATAACAAGAAAATGAGGATGTTTCAAGACTTTTCATGCAACTATATGACTGCTGAAAGATCAACATATTCTATCAGACATTTCAGAAGCTCAGAGAGGGCTGACATTGTGAAACACACTCCTCTGCACTTTCTTTTAACCTCAAGATTTGCTTTACCTAAAACCAATTTATCTTCTTGCAACTCATTTCTTTGCCTTTTGCTACACAATAAGGTATCTAGCAGAAGCATTCCCTCATCATACATAATAAAAAAGCACAGACTATCAAAAAAAACTGATGATTAGTTTATATAGGCAAATGCTGAAATTTGGATCAAGTGCTCTCCTAGAGCAAGCTAAGTCTAATAGATTTTAAATTACATTGCTACATATACACATTTTTCTTTGAATTTTAAATGTACAGTCAGGAATTCTGAAACTACATCCACTGATGCACTGATATCAGATTATAATAAGAGACAGTTTGAATCTAAGACTCTTTCACATGTGAGAGATTTAAGAATACTGTAATCTCATTTGCTTTATGTAAGATATAGAGCCTTATGAGATTACCTCACAGATGCCAGAATCCTACTCACTGCATGATTGTTTCATCTCCAAAAAACCCCAGCTGTTACAGAGAAGCCTTCAGTATGTATTATATTAAGAAAGTACCAACATGAATACATGTAAAACAGATTTACAATAAACCATACAGCCTAATGTTCTAATTTCCATATCCAAGTCATTCTAGCTTACATGTGTGAGTATATCATAAATACACACGTAGGTTTTCACCTCAAGTGATGCACCACAGAACAGAAACACCTCTTAAATCAGATCATGAAACATGATTAATTTAAATTTAACATTTAAATGCTATCATAAAGTGAGAAAACAAAACAACGAACTTTATACAACTACAATATATGCACAGAACATGACAAGAGAGACCAAACAACTCCTGCAGATTCACTTTAAAGGCTTTTTAAAAATCAGCACAGTTCAACTGTGAAGAACTAGTGATTTAAAAACAATCTTAAAAACCCAGCTATTTCAAAGATTATATAAAGCAGAATTATTTGAAAGGCAGCATTGGAGCCAGTTGCTGATGTGGCAATTTTCATTATAAACACATGTTCAGCATTTTATAATTTGAAAATAAGATCATTCTATTAAGACAATGCAGTTAAAATACGAATCCCGTTTTGGCAAAAACTGTGAATTGTTACTATTCCTTCATGGCAGAAAACATATCTTTCTCCAGGTTTCAGAAAATGCTGTTTCCTCAGTGCTGTTCTCTAAGCAATACTACATTCAAAATAAAAAGTTGTGAGCAGCTTATTTTTTTCAGTAAACTGGAACTGTTATTTCTCCAAATTAAACAACTATAATGGCTTTACTGTACTACACCTTCAACACAGCCATTGAATTCAGCAGCATGCATTAGTCTCTGCTGACTACTCCGGGGTAGACTCGTATCTAACAGGCAGCAATCACCTGGATTCCTCGCTTAATTTACCTAGTAACAACATACACATTTTACAGTTGTATTAGGAAACGTTACAGCAAAACACAGTTGTTCTTCTGTCCTAAGCACAAGTAAGACAATCAGCGCTTTCTGATAAATTACAAAGATTGGCATGATTACTGAAGAGACAATTTGTGGTTACCTAAAGACACCTGTCAGATACGTATGGTGGAGGGAAAGAAAGAACAGGAGGGAAGGTATATTACTGACAGGAAAATGGAAAAGGTGGGGCTTCCTTTCCTAAATTGCTCTCAAAGAGCCTTCACAGTATGAAGTGTTCAACTATCCTGGATTTTGCTTGCTGCTAAGATACAACGAGAGGCAAATCAGTTTAACTTATATTTTCTCCATGATGGTTTGTTCCTCTTGTAATCTTTTCCTCTGTGCAAGCCCTGTGCCACCAGCTCACAGATTGAATACTTTTCTTTCTTATTTTCTTAAAAATACTTTGAAGCGTGTACATGACATTTAGCTCACCCTCTACCATAGTTCCTCCCACAACAATTCATCAACTGCCTCTTTGACAAGCTAGGGCATGCAATCATCTGTCTCAAGTTCTCCCACTCTCTGAGGAACCTCTCCCTTGTCTCCACAGAAAAAGCTCAGGTTTAGAGAAAGGAATAACCACCAATCTCTCATGCAATAGATCAGGCAAAAGCCTAACTGACCAGAGGTGCAACAAAAGCTGATGAGGCAGACTGCCTTGAACCAGTGTCCAGAAGACACTTCTGAAAACACACTGTGTCCATGACTGGGACATGTCTCCCATGTTGTTGGGAGAACTATGATCCCAGTTTTCCTGCCTCCTTTCTGCAGGTAATCCTCCTCCTCACCCCTTCAAGAAGGTAGTCCTCTCACCCCAAATTTTCAACAGACAGTAGCAACAGATTAATTCCTGATTTTTTCTTTTCAATAGAACCATTTTGCAAGCTTTTTTATCCTGTGGTTAAGAACTGTCTGGATACATGAGAACAGCCTGGATATATCAACTAAAGTTCACAGAAACTGATGACCTACTTTGTGCACTTACAACCACTTCACTTTACCAGTAGCACCCTTTCAAGTTTTCCAAGGTTTGATTTGCAAAAGAATGGTTGGTTCAAGTTGATAATGTTAAAAACCAAGAACATGATATTAACCAATTCACTACAGAAATAATTTAGTCAAGAACCACCTGTAAATTACAGCAGCTATGCACTGTGCCCTGTTTAACTGCCAACAGTTTCAGAATGGGGTCTTTTCTTATCACAATCAAATAATCCAAGAGGGCATTTCTTGCTCATATAAACTGGAAAGGTACAAAGACTTGAGCAGAGGAAGATTAGTGTCTGGAACTGATATTCACAGGGATTTTTTTCACATCTTTGTATTCCTGTTAAGACTTGGAAGCCTTGTCTAACCAAAGATGTGAGAGTTGTCATTGCTGCATTATGGCAAATAGTGTTGAGCAATACATACATTTGGTAAGTGTTACTCTCTCTGTTCTCTCTTACAGTGGTAGAAAAACATTTACATTTTCAAAACCATTCCCACACAGAGAGAGGAACAAACTTTGCTCAAAACTTTCTTGCGCTCCAGCCTCTCACGGAAAACATGTACAAAGCTTTCACAGGGAACAAGAGATGACAAATACTGCTTGAAACTAACTCACGGGGACAATATGAACTAAAAAGATGAAAGAGATAACTTGCAAAGCAACAATAAAGTATGTTTCATAATGACACAGATGAGATACACTACATGAAATATTTTATGCCATTTGGTCCACTGACAGTTTCATTTGCCTATCAGTGTTACCAGAAATAAGCTGAATGAATGAGTTTCCAAAAAAGAAACAAAGAACTGCTTTACAAAAAGAGCAAAGAACAGAGCACATTGATGGTATTTTAAAACGTCTCATTTTTTTCCTCATAAGGAGGAAATAGGTACCCTTCGCTGCCTGTGACAGTCA